TATCAAAATTCTAGGTGTTGATTGAGAATTGCTCAATACATGAGTTATTGTGTAATTAATTTTCATTTTTTCTGAATAATAAGTTTTACAAAAATTATTATCTAGAGATCAGCATTGGTCTACTGCGCAAATGAAATCGAAATTGTTCGCAGTTATATATCCAAATGTGGTATTAACAATTTTATTGCGTGCAATCATCAATTAATTCTATTTAAGTTAATATCAATATTATACCAGTTTTAAAATAACTGATTCCATTATTACTCAAAAAGATGTTTCGTTCTTCATTAGTTATATTCCTTTGGAAGTTGATTTCAAATTCCAAAATGCGCTTAAACTGATTTTACCTTTTCAGATTGTCCAGTGACATTTTTGGCTACAATATAAAAGCAAAAGGAACTGCAAGTTTTATAAATTATAGCAAAACCATTTTAGAGTTCAACATGTGAAAATAAATGTGAACTTCACATAACACTTTAAAGTTAAGTGGTAGCAAATTTAATGTGAAAAAAGTTCATTTTCTTTAAGAGATAATATTTATAAATTATTTAAATTTTTCTGTTTACATGACTTATGGAGTTTAAGCTTGAATTTTAAATAGCTATTCGATTGGCTTAATTATTCATCATGACAATTTCTTCTCAATGCAGGTGAGTATTTAAATGATTGGTGCAACTTTGATTAGTTTTGTATCACTTTACGTCAAGTTCACCAGAAGGTGGACAAAATATCTACAAATCTTCTCTGCCATTGTTTCATCGCCCTCTTTGTTTAACTTTTACTTTTCATTCCCTCACGCCAGGAGAACAAATATTACACTCATTCTTGTCGTAATTGGAAGGTCTTCTTCCCCTTCCTTTTTGGCATCTCTCGCTTTTTAACTCGAATTTTCATCCGTTTGATGTTTCGCGAACTAATTCAGAGTGTTAATCCTCTTTCCTTATTTTCTTCCACCTCGATTTTGAAATACATTCCAGAGGATTCTACTTTATACTCATTGAAGCAACCCTTTCATTCTGTCACATGATAGGCAGAAATGAAGGGGGGGGATGATCAAGACAATGGCGTCAAAATTGAAAATTTGATTGTTTTGTTTGGATGTTACAGACCTATCAGCCGTAATCCCAGCCAGTAGGAAATAAGCCTATTTCCTTGCTGTCATTGGGAAAGCTTGATGTTGTTCAATTCCAACTGTCGTCATTTAGGGGAATTCATAAGAAATGATATTAACATTAATGAACTATTTGAATATTGAGGAAAAAATGTTTATGTGAAATATTAAGTTTATTCAAAGAAAATTTTAAAAAATTTTGAAATTTAATTTTAACACTGTCGTTTTTCCACAAATATAAATTAAATGAACAATCTCATCTGTTTCGAAATTTTTTCACTTAACTATTTATAATTGCGTCCAATTATCTAATTATCCAAAAATTGGCGGTATTTGTGGGACTCACTGTGAAAATAAATGGGGGAAGATTATGCGTACAGTCATTTTAAATTTTATTTCAAAAAATCAACTGATGTATAAGTAAAAGGAAATTCAATTCCTATAGCTCCCCTTTCAGCGTTATGCTCTTTGACCAAATCTATTAAAATGAATTTCAGTCAATTCTGACGCTCTTATTTAATTCTATGATACATGAATTTATTAAACTTATAATGCTTTCGATGTAAACCAACCAAATTGTAATCTGTGGGTATTAATGAAACGACTAATCTTTTACATTGAAATTTCTAGATGTTTCAAGACCAGATTCACCGTTTTTAAAAATTACGCTTTTGAGAGGAGTCCACATCAGGTATACACAGGTCTTGTTGACATGTTTATTTATACGAATTATGCATCAGAAGTGTTTATGTCATTGCCTCTTCCAGCAGCCTTACAGTAGAGAGATGAAACAATTAAAGAAAGAGCTAACTCATTTTGAACTCAAATAACTGCAGTCAATTTAATAGTCCCCATTTAAGGCTCAATAACTTCTTTTGAGCAAATAATTTTCATCAACTTCACACCATTAATTCTCTAATTCATATGAATATATGAAAATAAAAGCATTTTCAAATAATTTAACCTTATGTTGTGCTTATGTAGAAAATGTATTAATTTGAATTGAATGCGAATATCATTCTTTGTTTATAGATGTATCCCGGTGGTCTAATTGAGGTGGTTTAACTGAGGTGTTATAATACGGTGCGTTCCAATTAAGAAATATTTTTCTTAGCTCCCTGAGTCGCTGCACTTGTAAAAAACGTTCTGTTAAAGATAAAAGATATTAAAAATTCATATTCAGTGAATTTTAAAAAAGAAAGCCTTGTGATTTCGACAGAAATTGAGAGTATATTCTCTCGTTAATTTTGATAATGATTAATTTCATTCATCGTCGATAATTCCTTTTAAATGCTACAGGGTTAGTCATATTGGAGCCTTGAAGGATGTTCAGTTTAAAATTGCGTTGAAAGGTGTTTCCTATCAAGAATAAGGACTGAAACTAAATATTTGTGATTTTTGTTTCCTTGAATAAATACAAATTCACTTATTATCATTGATTGTACATATTAGAGGTACAAGTTATTTCAATTTTATCCGCCTCATTTGCTCTTATTCAAACATTGCGCTCAAAATTTTCTACTTATTTTTGGTAAATTTTCTCTAAGTAACCAAACTCCAAGTGCCATATATTTTGTCCATAAACGGTTTGCATTACGATTCAAAACTAATTAAACATCAATTAGCAAACATTTTCTTTAGGGATTAAAATCTATTTTTTTAATACCATCTGGTTAATTTTTCTGCATTATAAATTTGATTAGATATGCCGTTGTCTATCATTTTCTAAAAAAATAGATAGAAGATAATTATTAACTTTACTATTATTGTGAAGCCATTAAAAACAGAAGAAATGAATAAAAGAGACTCCAGTACATTTCATGGCACACATTACAAAGTGAAGAGTTTAAATTCTATTTCTCACATTACCTAAGGTTTAAGACTCGATTAGAGCAACAAAGTAACTGATCATGCAAAAAAATAAACAGCGACTATTCAATTCAAAACTAGAAGAAGCTGTTTCGATTTAATTGTGTTTTTGCAAAAAATCAGAGATTCTCTTGCGAAAGGATTTTTTCTTTGCAAAATAAGTGACATGAGAATGTATACAGTTTAATTCAACCAGCTCAGGTAATTGGAGGCCTTTCTGCACAGGGATGATAAATATGTGACTTTGAAAATTAAATTAGAATTAGAATTAGGACACGTGATATCCTTAATTACATTATTTATGCTTTATTAATGACTTTGCCTTGTTTCATATATCACTTAATATATATTCTTCTCCACTAATTCACTTATATATATATATTGAGGAGAAATGTTTTGCGTTTCTGGTGGCAACACGGAAAACAACAACATGAAGGCCTTTTTATATTATAGATAAAGTCATAGCTTACCAAAAATGAACATTCCATTGCGTTTCTGCTCAAATGCACCTCCCCACTTGATATAATGTAAATTAAAAAGAAACATGGAAAGAATGGTAATGATGTGGAGAGTAGACGATACTGTATTCCAAACTGAGATAAGCTAGTCACTCAACTAGCACCATGTTCCTTTCACAAAGGGTAACAAGGCGTATAACGCATATTGATTGATTTTTGTCGACCCTGAAATTTATGGCTCACGTTTTGACTTCGCCATTTTTGTTAACTCAAATCAGGAATTACTCAAAAGTCTTTATTAGTAAAATGGAGATGAAAAATATTGTTTTTTTTATTTTCTGGTGTTATTTCGGCATTATATGAATGCATTAGAATCAACTATTGATTTAATCAAATGGATTTGGCCTTCACTTTAACTAAATGCACTTGGCAGATCTGTAGGATTTGTGCAAGCTCATCAATGATTCACATTACTTTATATTGTATTGAAAAAATACTAATAATAATTGAAAAATGGTGACGATTCCTTCATTTCTGGTTCTGCCTCAGTTGATGTTAACTGTATGTGATCAAATAGGGGTTCGGTAGAGAATGCGACAATCTTTTTGAGGTTTGGAGAGCAAACGGAGTAGAAGCAAAACGTGCCTGTGCTTTTTTCAACCTTTTGCGAGTTTGTGGTCGCCCCTAGTCAAAATTGCATGAAAGCAGTACTACTATCGAGTCCCTAAATTCGTTTTCGCTTTCTCCAGTAATTACGCTAAATTAATATGGATTTATGAATTGTAAATGAATTCATGTCCTCGCTCTCTTAGAAATCACGACTAATTTTACTAAATAAACCACTTTTCTGGCAAGATAGATTCAACTCCAACAAGGTTTAAAAAGAAAGTGTCCCTAACCGCCACTTGTAATAGGTACAACTTTTGATTTCAAGGTTGAAAATGGACAATTTATCATTTTTAGCGCCTCTACAACTATACAATTTTGGATGTCTTTAATTAAAGCCTCATCGGTAATGGACCTTTCGCTAGCTAGTGTACGCTATTAATAATGTATCAAAGAAATCACCTATTTTAAGAATTTTATGTCCACTATCCTGATTTTGTAATTCAATCGACATGATTGCGATTTAACGTTGTTTTGGCCTTGGTAAACATGGAATTGATGTCCACTAAAATCGTTAGTTACAGGACCGCAAGAGACTAACATAATCGGCATTGCATAACCCTATTCATTATAAACATAAGGGGTCTCCAATTTCAGACATCCTTAACTGATCCTTAACCAAGTTTTAAGATTTAATGACCATGTACTTTTAAGCATAAGTCTTTAGACAAAATTGAGTTCAGAAGGGAAAAAATATTACTAAGACTTTCACAAGCTTCTCCAAAACCGTAGGAAATGTCCTGGTCTGGTCACAGGAACTCATGTCCTCATTGGTTTGGCGATCGACCAATCAGGAAAGAACAATTTTCCGAGTGGCTTAGCACTTAACATGCTTTTGGCTTGCCTGGACTTAATAAAAACGACAACTAAAACAGGACAGCCTGTCGAGCAGACAAATGAATTGCCCGGATAACGTATTTGACCTAGAACATGGCGGCGAACAAATAGGCCTTAGAAAGGTAAATCCACCCAAAGTGACAGTGACTCAACGCAGGCAATCATCAAGCCGTAGTTTCGCGTGTTGTGGACCTGGAAAAAAGCGCTATCTTATTTCCGTGCTTTGTACGGCTTGTCTCACCATCGTTATCGGGATGCGAGCTGAAATGCTAAGTATCATAACAAAATTGAATGATACGCATTCAGGAAGGCATGTAGAGCTTCCAACATCCGCCTTGGTCAGAAATTTCATATCACGAAATCATATAATGGTTCCAGAAATGCCTGAACCACCTGCAGCTGATGATCATCTCTTTTTCAAGCCATCCCACCACCGTCAATTGCCATGGACAGCAACTATCACTGAAGACCTTGTAGAGAATGCCGTTTTCTTTGCTTATCTTATTGCCAGTCCCATTGGTGGCTATTTGACCGTTCGTCATGACTCCTCCCTCCTCCTAGGATGTTCTGTCGCTATGACCTGCGGACTTAATCTCTTCTTACCTTTAGCTGAAACTATTGGATCAAATATTGATGCCAAGTTGGCATTGATTATAATCTTGCGGCTGCTTCAGGGAATGGCTGAAGGTTGCCTAATACCGGCTGTCTTTGGAATACTTCGTTATTGGAGTCCAACTAGCGAGAGATCAACACTTATTTCCTTGGCTGTGATTGGGGTATCTCTAGGCCCTCTAATTGGACTTCCTGTGTGCGCTGAAATTGAGCAAAAATGGGGTTGGGGTGTAGTGTTCTACATTTACGCTAACCTAGGCTTAATTTGGTGCATATTTTGGTGGCGAATGGTTGATGAAAAGCCCCAGAAAGATCGAAATCTCTCGAAGGCAGAAAAAGTTTACTTGAAAGTGAATACATCCCAACAATTGCTCTTTGATCCAAGCAATGTTCAAATTCCCTGGGCAGCAATTTTTACCTCAAAGCCAATCATGGCTATATTTCTCACTTATGCCGCAGATGATTGGACATTCCAAATTTCATCTGTTTGCATGCAAACTTTCTACCAACAGAAGTACAATGCAGACGTGCAGAAAACCATTTTCCTTCTTTCCTTCCCCTTTCTCTCCCGGTCAATTTTTGTGCCTATCGGTAAGTTCCTTTCACTGCCTCCAGTCTTCTTTGGATGGCAAATGGCATAAAAAATTTAAAACTTAGTTGTACTTATTTTTTAAAAGCTCATTCGCCAGTTCTTTTACCTTTGCCTTTAAATGAGACGTTAAAGCTTATTTTGTTTATCTGATTAAAAAATAGCGGCTTAGTGGCGGCCGTATTTTAAAAACTCTGGTCTGGCGCCACAAGTAAGAAAATTTCGAAGTGAATTTCAAATCCTTCACTGATTCATATACACTTTTTGAAATAATTTTAAAATATGGCTTTTTTATAACTTGTGTTCTTGAAAAATGACTATATCTTTGAGCTTTAATGAGAATGAGGTTTCCGAAATCCATATTTTGCTGTGAGCTGCACAGGAAGTGCTTAGTCCACAATTATCAGAGAAAATGAATGCGAATTTTATAGCTGGTTTTACTCTTGGCTATCACTTACTTGCCAAGCCAATAATTAAATCTAAAAAATTGATCTCGTTGAACGTTTATTTTTCTAATCAACTCCCAATTAATTTGTATCGATTACCGATCGGAAGCAGTAATTTCATTTAACTTGAAGAGTAAAAGAAAACAAACTCATATTTATTTGTTTAGAAGTTCGATTTTTTTTCCTCGAAAAGTGCAAGATGCGTACTTCTAGAATGACCTCCTATTGAAATGTCGTGATCTTCAATGAAGTACGTTTAGACTTCCTTTATGTAATTACGGCTTTAAGTGTTAGATGGTAATTCTTGACCGTACTTTCATCATTCTAAACAACTCATTCTGGAATGGTACACCGCTATTCCTAGTCAATATTGGTGCCACCTGGCCAATGTTTTCTTAAAATTTATTCCATCATGAGAAAAAAGAAAAATTGTTTAAAAACTTTTCAGTTGAGTAGATAATAGGTGCTGTAAATTCAACATGTCGCCTTTACAGATGAAGAGGACAATTTCGTTTTTCTTTCCCGAATTTTTATGGCCTTCTTGTTGATTGGGCTATCTGCTTAAGCGCATTCCCCTTTCATTGTGGTAGAAATGTTCTCGCGGCAATCGATCAGAATGTCGTATACATCTACTTCCAAAAATAGGCTGAAGATACCGTTTTCATTCATAAGTACTACTTAATAAACAATTGATTGTGACAGGTCGCTATCTTTTTCGTAAGTCTATTCTGTCAAAATTATGACATAAAGTGGAATTCGGTTGATAAAAAACTGGGTTGCCTTTCTTAGTTCCAAGTGATGCAATGCGATATTTTTTCGTTCACCTTCATTAAACGTAAAGGAAACTTAAATTGTTCACTTGAAATGATATGAATTACGAAACACTATGCCCGTTTGGGGTTGATTTATGATTGGGGTTTGCTATAACTACGTAATGGTGCGCCTTTTCCTTCCTGTCTGCAATTCAACATGTGAATCTTAAAATTAGCGGCCAACAGTTGAAAAGAATGAAAAGCTCTAAGCGTTTATATATATATATTTATTTATTTATACCAAATGCCAGGCTTTTGATAGCCGTCATTAGCCCTTTAGTAGACTTCAAACTTCATAGAGGGGAAGGAACATCAAAGTGAAAAAATACGAGAGGAGGTTGGGGAAGAACAGAAGAGCGTTTCAAGGATGCAAAAGGGACAGACGCAGGGATAGAAAAAAGGTGAGGTGGGTACTGGGGAAGTAGTTGAAAGTGACGTACAATGGGGTGATGGCAGTTTGAAGTCAGAAATCAACTGCCGATTAATTGACTTTTTGTCGTATGAGTATACGTTGCCCAGGGTGCACCACGGACTCTTTTGCCGTGTATACGTTGCCCAGGGTGCACCACGTAAGGCCAAGAGTAAATAGATGGAAATCCAAATTAGAATCGAGAGAAGCCAAGAAGACCTTCCAATAAAATCACCAGTGAGTGCAATGTTCTGTCTCAGACATCCAAAATGAAGGCATGAGAGAATAAAAATTACAAATCACATGAAGAATATGAGGGAGCAATGCCAGAGAAGTTTTGGTGTGTTTTCTTGACCTTCTGGGTGGCCTCTCTTGCAGAAATCGATGCAGTATTTTCTAAAGAAAAGACAAAGCTGAACGGAGATGTATCAATCATCTAAATACTCTCCTGAATTTGAATTTGAATTTGCTATGAAGTTTTGTAGAATCGCCATGTGTACTTCAAGAGGTATGTGTGTGAATCATTATGAGATATGTCAAAATGAAATTGTGCAAGGTCTTGAGTTACGATGGTTAAAAAGTGTTCTGCTAAAATGCCTCAAATCAGTCAATTTTGTTTAATCTTGCGTTTGCATTATGGCAAAACTTTGCACTTTTCAAAAGTTGTTCATTTATAATTTATTTCAAAGCATAAAAAATAGATGGGAGAGAGAGGGTGAAAGTAAGTGTTTACTTACTAAGAATTTGAGGGGGCGAATGAAAATGGTGCCAAAGTGCCTGACTTCATTTTATATTTATTTTTATCTATTTTTAATTCCGGTACTTACGAATTCACTGGCTTGCTGTTGGTTATTCAAATTTTCAGAATTCACTGCTTGGCAGAACATCATTTGCCGGTCTACGATGTTTCGTGCACTTTGAACAAGTTGTTTTGCATGGAAAGACCTGATTTAGAAGCTTTGTTAAATTTTGTGACATCAGCACTTGAATTTTAATTGCTTGATATTTAGCAAAGTACAATTTTAAAATAGCAGATTTGAGATGGATGTTTGCTTTAAGTCAATAGAGCACTCTAATGTGGCATTTATTTGCTAATCTTTAGTGTATATTTAACCTGTTCATCTTAAAAGGCTCCCATAAATTTTCCATGCTTTTAAAACTATAGAAAAAACTTATTCAGTTTGGTGGCCAATCATGTTTGTGTATTGATTTTGCTCTAGCTTAAAATATTTGCGTTCGACAAGGTGAGGAAACTTTGATAGGCGATTCGTAATTACCAATTTTGTGATAACTCCGTTTTGGCCTGCTAAACAACAACAGCATATCCCATGCTACCTCTGCTGCGTAATCCCTTCATTTCTCACATCTCTCAAATTGTAGTCGTTGCCATTTCAAGAACTCTGCCTCCCCCCCCCCACTTCCCCCATCCGCCGGTTTTGAAACCGGCGATAAGACGTCAGTGTTAAAATTCGTCAGTCTTAGTTGCAACAAAGTGACGCCTATCCAATCGTCAATGGTGAAAGACTAGAGAGTTCTCTCACCAGCATTAAAAAAATATGCATTCCAGAGATTTTCATTCTTCTCAGTGCACAGCTTTGCGCTTACAAAATGACCAACAAGCTAGTTTGCGAAGCTCGTGTATGGCATTCTTAAAACTTTCCAGAATTAGAGCATAATAAATGAATTTTGCTCCATCTCCAGAAAGATTTACCGTAGACAAAAGAGAGATTTTTACAGAGACAGAACTTCCTGAAACAGACATCGATAATTTATCCATTATAGTCATTGTCACAGAAACTGAGTCGGAAAAACGTGACAAGTTTCTTTATTGCTTCTGTTTCCAACTGCATATTAAGTGCATCCATTATAGATTGATAATAATTTCATTTATCTTGTTGCTATTCTAGAAGTCACTATTAAAGGATTGTTTGATCTATCATCATTTAAGCACGTTGGCGCATCAAAATACGTTCAAAAATCAAAATGTCTCAATTAATTTAAATAAGTTCATTTAAAAAAATACAAATCATGTAGATTCATTTTACTGGGGATTAGAAAATTTCTTGTAGATATTTCTTTTTGTTAGCCTAAGAAATTTTGATTTTTTCGAACATTATTAACAGCACATTTGCAAATAAAATTCATGAAATGGGCTTCAAGTGCTTGAAATGGCAGCATTTTTCAGTCTGGAGGCGAAGAATAATCTTTCATCAAGGCAGAAGATCAGACACTTTAATTTATTTGAACTCTGGAACAGCTGGAGTTTTCAGTTTTTCACAAGTATCATAATCGGTTAGCAATATTTAAGCGTTTCAACTTTTATTACGTTTTCAAATTGTTGATGTCGTTTGTAGTTTTTGACAGGTTAATTTATTTGCTTGATTGGTAATGCTTTTCTGATCCAAACACTCCTTTTAGGAATCAAAATCAGACATATAGGAATGGCACTGAAGATGAACTCTATGTGGCAATCATCAAATCGGCAATCGTTTATCCCATTTATTAATGGTCTTTATCATTTTACATTTAAGAAAATCTTCAATTATTCGGTTCATAATTATCATGATGAATGATTTCAGATGCCTAACACTAACTGACTCTTTCATATAAATTGGTAACTATTTATTTTCATTAGCTGAGGACACTTTAATAAAATTTGAGCCAAACAAGTTTCAAAGTGCTATTATTTATGAGGAAAAATGCTTCTTCCAAGTTTGTTTTTCTTCAGAATTGTATCATTCTTTTCATTAGAAATACAAAAAGATCAGTTGCACCAGCTTCTATAAGCGGTTTAAAAATAAGAGAGTTGTAAAGTCAAGTAGAAGTGTCTTTAACTTTCAATAAATTGTATTCCATTTGGCATTTTTCGACTTTCTTTTTATCTTAATTACATTTAATCACAATTAGCCTACTTTATAGTTAATTGTCCATGAGAGAGGAAAAAAATGTTTAAACACTCACAGGACGAGCAGGAAAGGAGTTCGAAAAGGCAAATACTGGAGAGAGACCAAGAAGAAGCCTGCCCTTGAATTAAAGCATTAAATGACTTCCTTTGCTTCAATTAGGAGGGAGGGGTGGAATTGGACCCAAAATGTTCTTGAGTGTGTGTGTGTTAATCCTTAGGCTTATGTTCGAACATGCCCATTTCAAAAGCTAATTTCCATTTACATGGGCCTGATCATATCCATGTTATTGAAACCTTTTGGTCAGTTGTTTTTGATCCGTGGTTGAAAATGCAGACCTTGTTTTATTACTATTCAAGCCGAACGTATGACAGCTAACGGGGTTTTGATATTTTAAAGCATTAGTCATCCCTATTCTATGGCCTATTAAAATTTTAATTACCGAGTACCATGAAGGGCAGTTTAAAATTGCCGACACTTTG